GGAAGAGACATGGTTTCTTCTCATGTTCATCCTTCCAGGTGAAGTTACCATGTCCAAGTTCAATTCAGCCATGATCAGACAAGACTTGGAATGAGATTTTTGTTCTAGGCACCTCACTTTTAAGCAGATAGATGATAAAGAAACTAAAGGGCTTGCTGACTGAAGAACAGATGAAATAGTAATTAAACTTTTTCCATGATGCCCCTATGAACAGAACAAAAACTATGATACTCTTATCAGTCAGATGTGTCTAAAGATATGTGATAGATCTTTATCAGTAGCTAGTTCCTTATCATAGAAGGTGTTTAAGTATAGTGGGTTATGACAAAATGAGGCAGAGTGTCCTCAATTTCTGGTTAGGGGTTAAATGACTCACCTTCCAGGACCTATGATTGAAAAAAACAGAAGCCACAATCCCTGACTTCAATGAAATTAAAAGTTACTTGGTGATACACAATAATAGGCATCTTTGAAAAAGTGTTAAGAATACTATGACCATCAGAGTCCAGTTAGAAAGCTGATGGTACCTCAATTTGGGTGAGTTTATTAAGAGACTATTTCTAAAAGTTTGGGCAATCTAAGTGGGTTACAAAATTACCCAGGAGCTTTATTTAATAGCAGCATTGGGAAAGGGGCATCCATTAGTTCTCCTAGACCTAAAGGCAGGAAAAGAGAGATCAGTTACCAGATGAGGGAAAGAGAAAACAGTGAGGGCTGGGGTTGTGGCTCAGCAGTAGAGCGCTCGCCTAGCACATGTGAGGCCCTGGGTTCAATCCTTAGTACCGCATAAAAATAAATAAATAAAGGTTAAAAAGAGAGAGAGAGAGAGAGAATACAGTGAGCTGTGACTATTGTCCTTGGAACTGTGAAAGGGAAAAGGGAAATGCAGAATGGCCAGAGAGTATATGGAGAGTATATGGAAGAAGAGTATATGGAGAGACAAGAGGAAAATGTGTAGCACAAATATTAACAAAACTTCACAAAACTGAAGACAAACAATGAAAGCTGCAGACTGAGATCAATTCTCTCTCAACAATCTTCCAAGTGATGCAATATACATTTCTACTGATGAGGAATCACAGGACCTATTGTTTCTCACTATCATTTTAGAGTACCATCTCTTCTACACCGTTAGGCATCATGGCTGTATGTTTCTTTGAACTAGTTCTCAAATGCAATATTTACTCTACTCACAAAGTACATGTCACAGAATCTGAACTCTAAATACAGAACCATCTATACTATCTTAGGTAATTTTCCCATATATCCTTGCTACTCTTTCCTTTATTCAACAGAGGTGCTTAGTTAACTTCTGTCAGGCACTGTGTTAGACACGAGGATATAAAATTCAACAAGACAAGTCCCAACTCTGCTTTCATGGAGCTTTTAGCTATCAATCATTCAAATCTATAAATATTTCCTGTTCACTAAGGAATCTCAGAGGTGCTATAAATCAGAGGTTGGCAAACTATGGCTCACAGGTCAACTCTAGGTGCCCTGCTTCTATAAACCATGCTTTATTGAAACAGCCATGACCATTCATTTATGTATCACTGTTTCTGTACCACTGCATTGTTGAATAGCTGCAACAGAATAGTATCACCAGCAAAGCCTGAAATATTTACTTTCTAGCACTGTATCGAAAAAAAATTGCCAACCCTTGCTCTAAATAAAATCTAGTTCTTTAAGGATGAGATTTTCAAAGACAGAACATCCCTAGGTGCCCTAGTTACAAACCATACCATGAGGAGAACTGGCTCCCTGCATGGTTCTATCTCTAGTGTTATTTTGTTTTAGTATTTTATTGTTAGAGCAGGTAACAAAGATTCGGCTAATATCTCCTATTAACAGCTTATTCTCTTCCAATGATATCAATGTTGTCTTATATCTAGACTTGACTAATCAGAGTTCTTCTATATCATAGAAGATCCTTTTTTTATGAATCAAAGCAAACAAATTTTGACAGAGGTGATTTTAGACTATCTTTTAAATTGAACAATAAAATTGATTGTAAAGCACTTAGCCAATACTCTAGTGCTATCTAAATGCAAAATCATAGCAGCAATAGAACCTTTCCTTCCCTGGAAATACATGAGTGGATACTTATTCCCCAATCACTTGACCCAGACAGCATTAAGTTTAAACTGAAAGAAAAAAAGAAAAACCAGCTTTCATTATCTGGTACCAAAAATTCTTAATAAGAAGTAATAGATCTTATGCTTGTTGTGGTTCCTCCAAAAGATACTAAGAGCCTAAGTCTGAGGTGGCTGTGGTTGAGCATCAATTTGCCATTCCCAAAACCCTTTTCTTCCCTAACAGGAATCAATGTAGCATGAATAAAATTAAACGGCACTTAGTGCACATTGATTCGCCTTAGTGCAGCAATAAGGCTTGAGAAAGATCCTGCAAAACCTTGCTTCCTGACAGTTTTCCCATACTACCCTGCAATCACCTGACAAAATATATTCCAAATGCTCAGGAGGTAAGAAATTGAGTAGAGAATCAGGCATGGGATGATAATAGGGAAGGAGATTGTGGCATGAGGGAGATACAGTTGACTTGGTAAAAAAAGAGATCTCTTTTAGATATCAGCTGTGTACATTCTATCCTTGCAAACACCATCCTGTATACCCTCAGGTAATGTCAATTCCTTCTGATATAGGTTCCCTCAGCATTCCATATTCTTTCATATCAGTTAACACAAATAAAACTGGACAACTCCTTACTTAACAGTTGTTTAATATCTACATCACTCAGTGGTAAATGAACTCCACTGATCCCATTATACCTGTTTTGAGCAGAAATCCCTATGGCCAGCACATGATGAGTACTGAAAATGTGTTAAGTGATTGTCATAAAGAATCCATGGACAGACGAGCAAGCTAGATCCTTCACACTCTGCTGGCACATAAGAAAGCTACTTGTTATTCTGAGATATGCTTGAAAATAGTAGCCAATATCTTTCTGTCCTAATATACCATAAGCAGTGTTCTAAGAATCTGAACTAAGTGCAAACCAAACCCTTGTCTCATCTCCATTAATGATCTCCTCTCTGCTCTTTCAACCTCCTCTTCTGTACTGACTTCTACCTTTCAATAGACAATCATGCTCCGGATGTTTCCAGCTTCAAGAAAGAAAAAAGAAAAGAACTCTCTGATACCCCCACCTGACCTAGCTGTTCTTACCAAGGTCACAAGTGACATCACAACCACCAAGTCACTGTTATTCTCTCTGCAGCTTTTGAACCTGACAACTACTTCTTATTTTTGAAACACTTTGCTCTGACTTTAGTGCCATTATTTCCAATCATCTCCCTACATCTAAAAATGTATCTATTTTTTCCTCAAACCATTCCCACTTCTAGAGTTTATGATTATTCAGCCTTCCAACTGATCTCTCAGCTTTCTTTAGTCCATTCTCCACAATACAACCATCAATAATGCTTCAAAATGACTTGACTTAATTTAACTGGCTCTGTTAAATAGTGACTCTGACCTTCAGCTCCGAGCATATTTATACAGCAGAATTTAGTGTATACATAAAGCACACATCCTATTAAATAGAGAAAATATTCCCTCTGATCTTATATACTGGACTGCTAACTTCTTGTATATACTAAAACATGCATAAGGTAACACTTTCTAAGTTGTTTTGTTTATTACTGGAAACTGAACTTAGTGTTTTATCACTAAGCCAAATGCCCAGGCTAGCTACTTACTTACTTACTTATTTACTTACTTCTTTATTTATTTATAAGACATGGTCTTGCTGAGTTGCCCAGGATGGCCTTAAACTAACAATCCTTTTGTCTCAGCATCCCAAGTCACTGGATTACATGTGTGCACCACCATGACCATCTAATTTTCCAAGTTTTAACAAGGCTTCTGAAATACGGTCTTTGAAAAGTTGAATCCAAATACTGGTATTCTAACTGTCATTCATGAAAAAAAGAAAAAAGCATACTTAGAATCATCAATGTGTGCTTCTAACCTTCATTCCCAAATTTTACATCTGAATTGTCATATGTAGTCCATTGTCCCACACTGAAAAAGATCTAGATGAAAGTTATCCAAGTTATCCATGGTTTAAATTGTGTTTGATCTAAAACCCTTCTACAAGGTAATAATTTTCTCGAATAAAAATAAGAGGTTGAGTGACTAGCAACTCACAAATCTCAGCCAACTCTCCCTATAGTCACATGATACCTTATAAATCTCCTGATTTTAAGTGGGGAAAAAAGTAATAAAACAAGGCCAAGAATGTGATCAATGTATGTGTAATTAACTTGATACAAATGCTGCTACTGAAAAATATATCCCGTGCACACAGAGTCCACATTACTGTTTTTTTTTCCCACCTCAGGCATATATATATATTTTTAATTTTCTATGGTTTCTAGTGGAATTCAAGACCAAAATATGTTTCTGAAATTCCAGACTATTAAGTTATTAAGTTATTATTCAAAGCCTTGACTAACTGAGCTCAAGCTACTTCTCCACACACTTCCTGCCGCTTTGGACAACTCCAGACACAACAGAACTTAATACTTGGCTTTACTCTATTTCCCCCTTAATTCGTAATTACCCAACTTCTGACCCTATTTCTCAAGTATCTGGTACTTATCCTTCCTTAAATTACCATCACCTCTAGGAATTCTCTCTGTGGCCCTCCTTGTGCCACATCATTTTATCTGATCTTCCTTATAATATTTCACCTTTTCTTTACCTTGAAAGTGTCTTGTTTTCCATCTACATATTTATTCATAGCCAACACAAGCCTGTAAGGTCCTTGATGGAAGACACCCTGTCAGTCCCACGTTTGACACGCACAGGACTTTGACAGAGCTCCTCCAGCTCTCCGGAAGATCTGATCAATGAATGATTTGCCAGCCTCACCCACGGCCTCTCCTGCTTCTCTGGGAAGCCTCAGGGACCATTTTGGCGGTCAAGCCAGGCCTGCACAAGTTCAGAGGATGGTACTTAAACAAGAAATCCACACACCTGTAGGCTGATGTTTCCGAGGATCCAACACAGATGCAACTTCCTGGTCAATATAAATGCCCTAACCACGTGCTGGGCTTCACCACTGCGAAGGTCCCGCCCCGGGGCACGTGAGAGGCAGGCGCCGCCCAGAGGTTGGGAAGGAGCAGCTTCCGGACGGTGAGGCGCCCGGGCAGCTGCACAGGGCCCGCCCTCCTATCTTGGGCTCCCAGGGGCATAGGTGTTCTTGGACGGCGAGGAAGGTCTGGGGGGGAACCCTCAATGCTACAGCCCCACAGAGATCTGGCGGGAATCAGTGCTGCCCGCAGGTGGGCGCTGGAACCCTGAAGTGACAATAGCTGGCCAGCACCCACTGCTTGGTCTGGGAGCGGGGGGAGTCCCTGAGACCACAAGTCCCAGAAGCCCCTGCGAGTCCCTGGGACGACCGGCCGTGAGCAGGTTGGCTAAGTCCCAGGACAAACCAGAGAGCCAAGAGAGGGAGCTAGGGGCACCTGACCTTCCTAAGCGGGGAGCCCCCTTGAGCTTGCTATCCTGAAGGTGAGCCTGAGCCCTTGAAGAAAAGAAAACACGTCCTTGGAGAGACGTCTTACGGAAAGACTCCACTCAAAGCCTCACTTCTAATGTGGGCAGGGCCATTGGAAGACTGATGGGAACTGTAAAACAATTTTTTTTTTCCAAAGTGAAACTAAGTTTTTGTTTCTTGGAGGAAAGTGTGCCTATTATAACATGATGTTTCTCATAATTTTGCCTTTCATGTTATAATTTAATCAATATTCTTAGTCATGTTTTGCTTTACCTCCTTCCAAAATTCCTTTATAGATTAGAATGCCAAACTAGATTCTAAACATCCTGAAAACAGTCTTTGAACTCTTCACTATTACATACAGTGTTTAGTTACTATTGTATAGAAGTCTCAACACATACTTACAGAACAAAACATTGAGTATTTCTAAATAAGAATCTGTTCGGCTTATTTTCCTAAATGGAAAGATCTTTATTAGACATCCAATTACATGCAATTGGTCATTGTAAATTTCTTGAAAATATTAAGCATCATTGCTCTAATCATCTGCGCATTTTAAAAAAGTCACTGTTTTTAAGTCTATTGTAATTTGTTTAATATAGCATTCTTCATTAATCCTGCAGAGATAAATTTCAGGTAAACAAAATTGACTTATCTTGAATTCCAAATTACCGAACATTAAATTAATGGTTTACTGTATTAGATGTTTTTATTTGAGAAGTAAAAACATGTAAAATTGGATATAAAATCCAATCATCATAATTCATGTCTTACAGAGATAACCGAGAGTCAAGTAGGGGAAATGTTACAGTTACCATATATTGCTGCAAATGTGAAATTCGATTTTAACTCCTTCTATTCATTCATAAAATGAATTGAATTGAAATCCTGTTCTGTGGCAGGCACTGGGTGAGGCATGATATTGCCTTATACAAATGCAAAGTCTGGCAATTAAAACAAATGAGTAAAAAAACATTGAAATATATTGCAATCACTGAAATCCCGTGTGAAAACTGCAGATTCAATTTCAACAAACTCTTATTCTTTCTCCTCAAGACTTAGCTAGGTATCTACTAAGCTAAGTAAAAATAACAGTTTTGTTTGTGCTTCTAAAGATGAAGTGGTATTGTAGTTTAGAATGTTCCCCAAAGGTTCACATTTTGAAGGATTAGTTCCAGTTTGTGGTGCTATGGGGAGGTGGTGGAAATTTTAGGAGGCTGGGCCTAGTTGGAATAAGTGGGTCATTGGAGGCATAATTTTGAAGACACATTTTGTCCATGGACCTTCAATCTGGCTATCTTACTCTTTGCTTCCAGTCATCTCTCTGCCATGATGTTCTGCCTCACCCAGGGTCCAAAGTAATGGGGACCAAGTGGCCATGGAGTAAAACCTATGAAACTGTGAACCAAAATAAGGCTTTTCTCCTTTATGTTGATGTTTTCTCAGATTGTCACAGTGACCAAAGGCAGATTAATACAAGTTGTTATGGATTTTACAAAAATATACAGTAGAAAATAACTGAAGAAAAATTTAAAAGTTTTTGCTTCACTCATTCCTAGTAAAATAAATAAGTAATCAATGTATGTTGAGTAAATAAATAGATTTCAGATATCTTAACATTAAATTTTGTCCTTTCACAAACTACTTTTCTAAAAAAGCTGTAGTTCATCTGTCTGAGCTATGGCACAAATCACCTTTCAAAAGGAATTTATTAAGAACAGAGGAAGGTGAAAATGTACAAAGGTACATTTAACAGCTTTTCTACTTCCTGACGTTCATCACATTTAAATGCAGAAAATTTGAATGGGGCTTGCGTAGGTTTGCAGAATACAATTCTTAGAAAATCATACTTCTTCAGTGTAACATTTTCAGGAAAATTCATTAAGTGATAGTCTGTAGTAAGTAGAGAAAATTTAATGATACTATGTATGAATTTTCAGAGTTCATACAAAGGCAAAAAAGAAAATAATTTACCCCTGTGCAAAATATAAAAGTTACAAAAGTGAGTAGTAATTTATTATTAGCCAGCTTAATGTAAACCAAAAATAAGTAAATTGATAAAATGAGTTAAAAAATGTAATCAAGAAAAAAACCAATTCTAAGATGGTTAATTTAATTATGAATACCAGAAAAAATGTCAAATTGGGGTATGAATTTTTTAGAGTTTAAAAATAACTTGTAAAAAAACAATTTGCATTATTTTATAATACAAAATCATGAAAATAGTAGCCGGATATTCTGTGAAAAACCAAGATGTATCATCAATAATTCTAGGCTCACACAGGAGAAAATTACTGACTCTTTGTTCAATTCACAAAATATTTATTATTTTAGGTACTACACATAAATAATAAAGCCCCTGACCTCAGTGATCCAATAGCTTAGAAAGAAAGCCAAATTTCACCATCAGATGTCATAATAAAAACTAGAAAAAACTGAATGCACTTACTATGTCAGGTTATCATGTACTGTTTAATCCTCACAAAATACATAAGGGGCAAGTACTATTTTAATCTTTATTTGACATTGAGAAACCTAGTCAAATCTATTCATCCAATGACACTAAACCTGTTAATGTTGAGCTAGAACTTCCACCCTACATTGCCTTTCCTCCAAAGTGCCCAAACTTCACTCCTTCACTCTAGCATCCAGGAAGCCAGCTTTTTCTTTAGCTGTTGCCCTTTAATTCAGTGTCACAAGCTCTCTATTTAGGGTGTTTTATTCACTAATGTCTTAACATCTTTGATGAAATCTGAGATACCTAGCTCTACAATTCTTCTACCTGATACATTTTGCCCCTCCTTTTAATTCATATTCACATTAGCCATCGCTATTTTATTGGCCATATTTTCTTCAAATTGCTCTTCAACAAAGTACAACATCATTAGAATTAACATTATTCCACAGAATATTGAATATCATCAATAATTCAATTGCTGTTAACAAAAAATTTAATTTATACTGTCATTTATGTGATTGTTAACATATTACAGATTACAATTTTGGAAATTTTTCTTATGTTGTCAATATTACTAGTATCTTTGCTTTAAAAAGAGCAAAATCCATAAAAGTTTTCAAGCGTTTAATAAAATGTAGGAAGAAAACGTGAAGTGTATGTTTTAACGTTCTTAATTTTAAGCTTAATACTTAGAATTGTTGAATAGTGGAAAGATTTAGAAGATGACTAAAGTCAGGCACAGTGACACATGCATATAGTTCCAGCCTCTTGGGAGACTAAGGCTGAAGGACTGTGCATTTGCAATCATCCTGGGTAACTTAGCAAGACTCTGTCTCAAAAAAACAAACAAAAATGTCAAGAAAAACAAAAAATAAAGCAAAACCCAATATGATAGGGAACTTTTGCAACTAAAAATTACATCTATTTTTTACATCTCTTTTTAATATTCCTAAAATCATATTCATGCAACAAAGAATTAAAGAATTATTCACTTTAAAAATATACTTTTGGTTTCTATGGTATCTATATTATAAAAATTATAATTATCTGTACTTTTAAAATATAAGAGTAATAAAATTTTTTAAAAATTCTTCACAAATATAAGTATTCAGGTAAACTAATGTTGAATTTTGGAATATTTTTTATATTATATGATATAATAAATGCTCACAAAGAAAGATAAAGCAAAAGACGTGCTGTGAAAAAAATATGTACTTGTAAACCATCTAATTTAAATGAAAGAAATCTAAGAACAGGATAGAAATATCAAGACATATTCAAAACCAAATGCTGGTAAGATCAATATTAAAAGAAATGCAAAGAAAGTTGATTTAATGATAAAAAAATTAAAGAGCCAGTATTTTTGGTACTATTTAATGATGGCGGTATTAATCAGTATAAAGCACCCAGTGTAAAATATTTTGTTTAAAAAGGAGCATTATGATTATTTAGGGAAAAATAAAAATTCAACAATCATATTGAGGGGAGAAAAAAAGCAGAGTACTGGCAAATGTATCAGTGGAAAAGTATGGTCCTAACGGGGTAGATGCAGCATTCTAGAGATGATTAGGATATGTAAACTGTACAACAGTCACTAATATGGCATTATGTAAAAATGTGGATGTGTAAACGATGTGATTCTGCAACTTGTATTTGGGGTAAAAATGGGAGTTCATAACCCACTTGAATCAAATGTATGAAAGATGATATGTCATGAGCTTTGTAATGTTTTGAACAACCAATAAAAAGAATAAAATGGTTACAAAGGTTGTTATTAGAACTACCAATGAGCATAGAAAACCCCAACCCTTATATTCTTTCATCCAGCATCATATCTGTTTTATCTTCTGTTGAGATGATTTTATCTTTTTTTAAACAATAAAGGAGCTTATATTGTAATAATTATGAGCATGGGTTCTGACTAGACTCTCAGTTTTGAATCATACTAGCAAATGAGCCAAGATAAATTGCTTGACTTTTATAAGTTTAATTTTCTAATGTGTAAAAAGGAACTAAGATAATTGAACTTGTATTAAATGATATAATTTGCACATAACTCCTTATTGACTGGCAAATACTATTTTAAATAAATATTAGCAATTATTGTTGCTTGAGTT